ATTTTAATTCAGTGATTTTAACTTTTAATTTTGCTATTTTAATGCTTTAAAGAGCAATTTTAGATTGTAATGTTCTAATGTTCTGCTATCTGTTCTGCAAAGGTACAGCTGTCATAAAACCAGAGAGCCTTTCTGCTTGGCTAGAAACTGTGAAAAGGTCAAAAAAAGTCAAATAATAGCGTTCCTATTGGTCAGTGTTAGAGGAACTCAGCTTAGTCTGATAGTTAACCTGCTTTAGACCAGGTTAGTTTCCATGGTGACTGAAGTTGATCCATGTTAAATTTGCTTTATGGAACCAAATCATTTGACTATGAGTCAGACTAATTGAAATAAGCCTGGCTTATTTGGTTAACTTGTTTTATGAAACAGGGCTTGAGGCATTAAAAGTGATCATATTTTCTCCATTGCATCGAATCGCATTGTGTTGAATCGAATCGAAATCGGATCGCACTGCATCGTAACAGGGGTGAATCGTATCGCATCGCATCGGTAGCTGCTTCATATGTATCTTTAATGTATCGTATCGTTGGCTATGCATCGAGATGCGTATCGTATCGGCCTCAGTCATGAGATGCACATCCCTAGTCTGTTGTGTTCCTGAATCTATTAAGCCCCTCCCTCCCTCGGGCTCAGATTGGTTAGCTGGCCCAGTGTGTTGGGATTCGCTCACTGCCTAGTGCACACTGTCCGGAAACTTCATGCCCCCCTTACCATTATGGGTAGCTGCATGTTCCCGGGGTCAGGGCTTATGTAAACTTCAGGGTTAGTGATGTCACAAACCCGGGAAGAACCTTGTTGTAGTCCCTACCAGTCTTTTGTAGTCCTTATACAATGATTTCTTTAAAAGAAAATAAAAGAAAATATTTAACTTTGCCTTGAACTTTGAGCGTCGTAACTTTGCAGACGTTGTTTATGCTCTGACAGCAACATTACACACTAACTAAAGTTAAAGTGAAATCATAATCAACCACCCCTTTAAGTCTCTGGATCGAAACATAGCGAGGAAGAAGCAAAAACAAGCGACTGCATATGTAAGCAGATGCATATCCAAATAACGTGAACATCAAACGTTAAACAGGAAGTGGAAGTGGTATAGGACGGTGCAAGCTTTGGATGTGTTAGAAGAGATCTATTCCATCTATGTTTTGATCATCGTTCTGAATCCGACAAAAATTCCATTATGTTTTTTGTTCTTTGTTTTGCATGTTCAGATATTCATACAACAAAATATTCTGGGTGCCACTAAACTTTTGTGAAAATTATCCAAAATGTTGGCGGTGGCTGGCGACTTTTTAAGGAAAAACAGTGGCGAAAAAAGGGTTAATGTAAAAATGGGCGTAGCCATTTTTACATTTAATGTGCGAGACTTCCGGAGTAATGTGCTTCCAGGTATTTTTCGATGTAAAAACAGCTTGTTATGCTGCATGATATTGTAAAGTGATTTTTCTTATCAGATTTTTTAAAGGTAGTAATAAACACAATGGTTTGTAACGCAAACTGCTTTACTGTTTACTGCACTGTTATTTTTCTAGTAATTTTCTATTAAA